GAATTAAAGAGACTTGGCTAGGGGTTCCCACACTTAGAACTGTAGTGTTATTATGTAAATCTCTGGATTTGCTGATCTCGTGTGATAACTCAGCTTTATAACGGTCTGAGTTTTTCATATCTAGCCCCCATAAAATACAAAGTAGTGATTTTAGTGGCAGTGAAAACTACTGATGGTCAGAAACATGGGTCAGCTCAAACATGCTGAGCTTCATTAACTCAGAAAACAGGGAGTGCTGTAGTAAAAAACAAGCATACGTCTTTATTTTCACATTTATTTTAAAATTACAATGTTAGCCTCTTTTATTCAGAGTATTCAGTGTGAACACTGAAAGGTGATGGATTCAGTACATGTGACCCTAAACGTGCAGTGTGTTAATACTTTGTTAATAATGTTAATATTACTGATATTGAATAACAGACTTACTGTCTTGAGTCTAGAAAAATCTTTTTGTCTAAAATTTGGTGCCTGTGTTGGAGCTCCTGCCCCCTATCCATGACCCCATCAAACAGAGCTGCAGAGGTTCTTTTACTGAAGGACATGGGTTTGGTTCCTGTGTTCATCTGCAGAGAAAGAAGCAGGACAGCAGTTTAGCCACGTGCCGGCTGTGATGGGTTATCTCATTCCCAAACGATCTATGTGGTTAATTGAAATTAGAGCTTCTACACTAAAAATTTGGACTGAGTAGACACATTTCAAAACAGTAAAATAAAGTTTTATTTCTATTGAAGCATAAAATTATTCATTTTACTAATTTTATAACAGTAAACACAGCAGAAATGTGTGGTGTGTGGCGACCACAACATTCAGAAAACAAAGTTAGAGAAGGTTCCACACCTGCTGATAACAAGAGTCATCATGCTAGGTGTTACGATTGAGATGGTGCCCCTAGTATCTTTATGGGACCCTTCATATAGACACTGACACCACTGTAAACCCACAACTCACAGAACGAACTCATCAACATGTCACAGACACACTGACGTCTATTTATTTAAAGAACTCACCATCAACATGTCACAGACACACTGACGTCTATTTATCTCACTCTTGTTCATAATGCAGCTCATCCATGCTAACCACTTTTAAACTGATCCTTCACAACCTGCAACATCATCTATTCATTATTTACAACTCTTACAACGTCAAAATCAATTCAAACAATGTCTCAATCTTATTTGGTCAGTTTCTTACCAGATGGTTAAATATGATATAATTATTGTGATCCAAAGAAGAAGTCAAACATAAACATTTAGGCTAACGTTAGATGCTAGAGGGTGAAATGGCAGCCTTGAGCGCATCAGTTTGCTTCAAACATAACAATAACGCATAAATAAGCAAATTACATTCATCAAAAAATTCATTTTTTTAATTTTTGAAAACCATATTTGTATATGGGGGTATTATTTTCTTTGCTCTGGGGCCCAAAAGATCCTAGTTATAAATTTCTCAGTACTTTGCAAAACCGGGACCTTTATTCTATACAGTGTTCTAGACTGATTTGTAAGGCTGCAAGTTTAGAAATAATAGAGGTGAGGTTAACTGTGACAGAATGGGACTGGATATTGCATACACAAAAAAGTCTGGCAAATTGACACAAACACAATTAATTCAATTTTATTCTGTGTTGTTTAAACCAGGTAAGCCTTACAACCTGAAATATCTCTATCAGAAGTAATATGATTATGAAAAGAGGCCGTCAGACACAAAAAACTTTATTTTTGACCACAAAGTAGAACAGCATACATCAGCATGGTAAAATAATATATTTTATTCACATGGCATCTATAGTATAATTCTCATGAATTTGTTAAGGAAAAGTTTTTAAATACTGTTGTGAATCTCTACAGGGGTACATTTTCTTCTTGCATTGTTTACTTTGTTTTAAAGTAACACACTGTTACTAACCCAGCTCCTCCAGCAGGATTCACCCCTGTGCCATCTCCTCTCGTGCTACCTTCTCAAATGCTGGACATGCCTGCTGAATCCTCGCACTCAACTCTGCAGTCAGCTTGATGTATTGCTGGAGAGCTAATGTCGCCAAGCAGCTGTTGCTGGTCCTCATTGCGCTTCCTCTTTGGTTGTTTTCGCCACCATCCTTGGCACACTGTTTCCACAGTCTTCGACTGTGCTTGGCCTTCTCTGCCGTTTGGACCACTGGGGGGCATTATCCCACTTCTGATACCAGTGTGGCATCAGTGAAGAAGAAGAAGAAGAAGAAGAAGAAGAAGCGGGAAACATTATGCTTTAAAGGTGAATGTTCTTTTATTGAACAGCCCGTAAGCACTGCTAAAAAGGCCGAAATAGCAGGCAGGTCACTTCTAACCATACACTTTCATCTGACAGTAGGCACTAACACTGCACTGACTATCCCACAGCCCAGCACAGAATAGCACAAAAACACAAGTGCATATCATTAAGCTAACAACAACAACTATAATTATAATTTTTATAATTATCTCTCCTACCGTGAACATGGCACTTTCCACCATTAGGTTTTTTAAAATGACACTTGACAATGACAAAGTCAGAAGGACAAAGCAATGAAATGATCTGCTCTGTGAATTTTGTCTATAAGCCCACCAATCTTAGGATTCTCAAACAGTACTGACATATTGTGATATTGTGATATTACTTTTTACTGCAAATTACTTCTCAAAAAAATTGCTTGATCAATACAGAACATTCTACCGAATCAATTAAAAATGCGGTCTCACAGTAAAAAAAGAAAAGGTCCCACATTTTCATGTCAGTACTGAAACACAAAGCGTTTTAGTCTGTAGGTGAAGCCTTATCTTAAACACACCCCTGCGTTTTAGAGCAAGAAGTGAGATAGCATCCCTTGTGAGCACTTAGATTCCATTTTTTTTTTTTTTAAGTAAATGTTTTCCAAAGTCTATAAATCAGTGTGGAAGATAAAAAATTGTCACTACCAAAACATTTAAAAATCTAAACAAAAAGGAAAATAAGATGATAATAGAAATAAAAAGTCTAAAAGGCTAAAGGAAAAAGATAATTAAGACAAATAAGGTTTAACCCCTTAAAGGGCCAGTGCCTGCCCAAGGGCCCAAAGAGTTATTACGCATTATTACAATGGCTCCACCAGTTGAAGTCCCTGTAGGTACTGAATAATAAGCCTGGGATTTTAGTGGTTTAAGCTGTTTTTTAAAGCTGCTAACTGTAGATGCTCACAGTATGTCTTGTGGGAGGGAGCTCCACACTTTGGGTGAGGGTACACTAAAAGCAGCCTGGTGTGGGCTGAAACAGTGATTATAATAGAAGCGTTTCTGTTCTGTCAGACGGCTCAGAAACAAATCTGGTGTGAGTTGGCTGTTACTGTCTCTTTGCATATTACTGTTTAACTCCTGGTCATCTGCAGAGACAAACTCCTCGTATATCAATAATCGTTGAATGGTTTCAACTGAATTTTAAAGAACCATCCATTGAGCATCTTTAGGAAACTAAAAGTGTTTTTCTATGCCATAATAGAACAAAGAACCCTTTTGGCACCGTTACATGAAAGAGCAGATAGACATGTATGTATTGATTTTGACATATTTCCCAACAAATGTTGAATTTTATCAAAGAACAGTTTGTTACCAATCAATATTAGTGTTTACTGCCATGGTTTTCCTGGTTGGCTTAGCAGGTTGCCGATAGAGCAGCCCCAGTTCATGGAACGGCAATGCAATAGCAGGTTAGTGGACCAAAAAATGAGTTTTGTTATAGTATAAACATGCTGGAAAATCATCAGTTCAGTTAAAGCATTTGTGGGAAGTGGAATCAGGTGTGTTCAATAGGGAAGATCACTACACTCAGCAGAACTGAGGCCTGGAAGGATATTTTCATCTGGGTTGCCTGTAAAGACCACATTTTCCGTCAATAGCTGTAGGTGCGGCAATAATGCTTTTTTATCAGGTATCATCTAGCAGCTTGAATGTTGCCATTTATAAGATTTAAAAGTTTTTCTTGGTATTTGAAAAAGTCATACCTAAAAAGAATGAGTTTTATCCCTAATGTTGGGTTTAATTCCATTCGGTGTTCATTCGGCTCTTGTTCTGCTTTACTGTTGTTCACTCTTCTCACTTCGGAGCTTTAGTATTTTATTTTTGACCAAAATTATCCAAAAAGAGAAGAATAGAGCTTCAGTTCCTAGAAAGCTATAAAAAAAAAAAATTGGAATGAGGAACAGAGCTGTAGGTCATTCCATAATAACAGAGAAACCTGTAAAGCAATAAGAACTTAATATATAACATTTTATTAATAACATAATAAAATTAATTATAATAAAATCAATTATAATTAACTTTTAATTAAATCAATTTAAAAATTAAACTAATGATCATATTGTGCTGATCAAATAGCTATTCGTGGTGATTTTACTCAAAGAAATATAAAATATAAATAAATATATATTTACAGTTTATTATTCAATAACATTTCAATTTTTTGCCATGATCTTATTTTTTCCAGAAATATTTTAAACTGTCAATAAACCATCAGTTCACCTTTTGGTTTAGAACATTATAACTCACACTGTATAACTTATTAGTGAATCACAAATATTAATATGACAGGTGATTCTACACTTTGGAACGGATGGTTCTTCAAGGATACAGGCAATGGTTCTATTTAGAACCATGGTTTCTTTATAGAACCATTTGCATGCCTTAATGGTCCGGATTGATGGAGAATGTGTTGTATATGGTTCTACATAGCACCACAAAGGGTTCTGCTATTGTTACAGTGTCAAGCTTGTAACAATAACAGAACCCTTTGTTTTTGTTTTTTTCAAAAAAAGCTCTATATAGAACCATACACAACACATTCTCCATCAATCTGAAGAACCATTTCACCATGTAAAGAACCATGTATGAAAGCACATAGTTCTATATAGAACTGAAGGTTTTAAATAAGTGTGCAGGTCTTGCTGGTATTTCATTTAGCAGCCTTGTGTATGTGCGCGTGCGCGTTCTCGTGCGTTTGCGCGTGCGCGTGTTTATTTCAATGGGCGGACAGTAACAGTAATGTCAGTGCTCGGCCCCGCGGGACTGTTTTGAATTGAACTTCAGTTAAATAACAAGGAGAAAGAGAAAAGCAGCCATGTCAGAAGAAAACGAGGACTCTAAGACTGTGGAGACGGCGGTGGAGGAGCAGAAAGTGAGTTGACTCGATTAAAAGAAAGAAAAATATTGAGTCGTGTCTGTTTTTTCCGTTAGCCAACGCGAGCTAAGCTAGCTTCTTCTAAACGACAGCATAGCCAGCTAAGCTAACCTCACTTCTAACTCGTATTTTATCAAACAAAACTCTCGTCTTCTGAGCTTTTATTGCATTTTCACAAGTTACTTTTTCCACTGACGCTAACTTGTTGTTCGGACTAACGTAATTCGGCGATCAACGATGGCTTTCTTCTTAGCACTTATTAGCGGGCAAATCTAGCCAACTTGGGGGTGTTCTGAATCGAGCACTACGTCCCTACTTAGTGTACTTAATGGAGAGCCGGTCATTTTCTACAGTGTCCCTTCGTCAAAACTTTGGAAGTGCATTGGTACATTCGTCCTCAAATGGCATCCCACAAAGGCCAAAATTCGCCTCCAAATGTGGAAAATGAGGTTATTGCAGTAGCTTTGGTCTCTTTTATGAGCAATTTACGTCACTCGTTCTTGCTCCCTAGAAAGTAATCCACTTACCTAGGGGACTAGGCGCCGATACGAGATTTAGCCCTAGCTAACGATAATTCGCCACAATTGCGCTAAAGAGAACAGCTGACTGGTAATAACAAGCTGTTTTTTTATCACGGTTTTTAAGTAAAGTGTTGTTCTTACAGTGGAAAAAAAAAACTAAAAACCTATTGCAGCATTTGGTCAACTGGCCAGCTACTGTGAAAACCACCATAGCGCGAAATGATAACTACGTTAGCTCGGCTTTATGTTAGCATTTCTTGGGCCCAGTTGGCAGAAGAAATGTTCTTGTTGTTCATATGGGTTCATAATGATATTCTATATATATTTTCTTTACCATTTCCCGCTCTCTGTCTCAACTAACTTGCCTCGATTGCTGTAGTTGCTGTAACTTTAGATCCATACTTCCTGATAATCCGTCAGGATTTGCATAACATTGTGTTGGTCAGCCCGCAGTCCAGGGCTCAGGCGTGTTGGAAAACTGAATCACTAGTTTTCCAGAGTACATTTTACACCCAGTGACTTGTATGTTAGACTAATGTTACCATATCAGTGTCTTTACAGGTCACTTTGACTATTTGCAGTGAGTACAGATGCAGAGTGGTTGAAACAGATTGGCAAGCTGATCATGCTATATGTTGGGCAAGCAGCTGCCTTTTCTTAAAGGGGAATTCCACTGTTTTTTCTAAATATCTGAGCAATTCGGTGTGTAAACAGTAAACAAAGTCATTCAGAGTAATTCAGAGTTTTTTCCTTGTGAAGTGGCTCATTGTAGAAATGGTGATAGGAACCAGTTGTCGCCATGACTACAACACAAATACAGCCATTTTATTTACTGTCCAAAAGTACCAGTGAACCTACACGTGTCTTCTGAGTGTTTATATGGAATGTAGATTATGGTAAAATAGTGGAAAATATGAAAAAATAATAAATTTTGTTCAGGGACTGTTTTACCTCACAGCACCCTGCATGTACTCCTCCACGAGGAATGGATTAAAATGCATTTGAGCTAAAACTTTATCACAAAACAGTGGTAAAACAAGTCTCAGACATCAGGCAGCGTATTTATTACCACTTCATGAGGTAACTTTCTGTGAGGGAGCTTTTAGAGGTGGACGTCTGGTTCCTATCACCACCACTGTGAACAATTCTGACTCTGTAAGTTTCTCTATAGCAGAGCATTTCACACCAAACCACTCTGACTACTTTTTACGTCTCTGCCATTTAATTATGTCGAATGTTTTGATAAATCGGTGGAGTTCCTCTCTAACTGAGCTTGCTGAAGGCTTTTTCCCAGTCTGACTGTCCAGTCTTAATAAGGAATTTAAAGGGAAATTCCACAAAATATTTAAAACTTCTGCATGATTCAACCACTGAGTTGCAAACAAAGTTATTCGTAGTGGTTTGATGTGAAGTGGTGCATTGAAGCAAAGCTTAAAGACTCCTTTCTTTACAGTGGTGGTGATGGGAACCAATGTCTACAAAGCAAATATGGCCATTGTATTTACTGTGAACAGTTCTGACTCTGTGCCTCCAACTGCACTGTAGCAATTTGTTCTACTAATGCAAAAACCAGCTAAATGTAGTTGCTAAAATGTGAGATTAAATTTTTTTTTAATTTTCTAAGGCTGTATTCTCTCACGACTATCAAACACTCTGTTAGCTTAGTGCGTGACTACAAGAACAGTGAGGCTCATTCAGAATCATTCAGCAAAATGATCAGTCTTCGATCTGAGGTGAAGTTAGGCAAATGATATCAGGAATGTTTATGAAAGCAAAACACGTTCACTTTCACGCCTGGACATCACTTCCTTATGTCTCTCCGTAGAATAGAACCCTTCATACGTTTGTTATGTGCATTTGGAGAGGCTTAAAAAGCTCAGTCTGTTTATTCTAAACATTCAGCTGTTGCTGAGAATTCGTTCCAAAAAATGAAACGATTTCCAAATGCTTTCCCAAACGGAATTGTCATAAAGGTTTAATTTTGAGCTGTTCATTTCAACGCTTCAATTTATGAATATCGCTGTTGTCGGAAGAAAACCTTGTATCTCCAGAATGGTAACTTTACAGGAGAAGAAAAAAACCTACTTTATTTTTAATGTAAGTCAGTGGAACCAGATGTTTTCCAAGTCATTTTGGGCTGTTTCTTTTGGTCCATTCATCAAAACAGGCATTTTCAAACTGTCAATAAAAAGGGCAACAGGCATTTTCAAACTGTCAATAATTGAAAAACAACAAAAATGGAGATACAAGGTTTTCTGCTGACAGCAGCGATAAGATGCAGGTAGTCAGTAATATGGTATGCAGAAACAGTAGCAGTGCTACTAGTTTGATTGGATGGGACTGAATCCCTTACGATTGTTAATGTACACTTATTTCTACTCAGTGTGGATGTCTCTGCAGCTGTTGATGCTTAAACTCCAAATATCTGTGTTCTTAGGATGTGGAGAATAAGGTGATCTGTGCGGAGAGGGTAGAGGAGGCCAAACTCAAGGCCAAGTACCCACACCTGAGCGGAAAAGCTGGAGGATCCGATCTGCTCAGGAAAAGACTGCAGAAGGGGGTGAGCATCTCTCTCTCTCTCTCTCTCTCTCTCTCTGTCTCTCTCTGTCTCTTCTGTCTCTTTCTGTCTCTCTCTGACTTTTATACTTGAGTGAAAGTCAAAAAGTGTAGATATTTAAACATTCTCAAGAGTGTGTGTGTATTCTTTTTTTATACTTTGTTTACATCTCAGCCATTTAATAATGTAGACTTTTTGAAAAAGTCAGTGGAGTTTCCCTTTAACTGAGTTTACTGAAGGCTTTTTCCCAGTGTCAGTGTCCAGTCTTAATAGGGAATTTAAAGGGAACTTTAAAGGGAAATGTTCCCAAACATCTGCATAATTCAACCACTGAGTTGTACCAAAGTTATTCCCAGTGGTTTGATGTGAAGTGGTGCATTGTAGAGAAATACTGATATGAATTTGACATAAATGTGGCTGGATGTCTTTAAAAATTTAATTAAATTGTGCTGAAACTTGACTGACTATCAAGAAAACATTTAGAAAAGAGGTGTTTTTTTGTTTTCTGAGTTCTGTGACTATCTAAATGAAAAATGTAAGGAGGAAAAAGAGTGCAAACTTGAAAATTTAAAAATGAAGTTAAAGTACAAGTCTTCAGTTTCAGTAATATTCAAGTAAATTACAAATCTTCCAAAATAATACTCAGCTTAGTAACAAAGTGCGATCTCTTATTGTTAATTAAGTATTAAATGTCCCTCAGACATATTTAGGTTCTTACATAACAGTACCTGTTTCATTCTTTGTGCTTTTCTTTTTGTATCTTTGTTTCTTTTCCCCGTCCTTCTGTGTTTCCCTCTCTACCTTATGAATACACACTGAAATCACATAGTAATATACTGCAGCTCATAAACTGATAGATAAAGCCTCATACTGGACACAGTGTACTGACTCAGTACACTGATGTACACTTTCATATTTACACGAGCAGTAAAGAATCATAACATGAACATGGTGTGATTCATTAAAGTTAGTAGTTTCTCATGGCTTATATTGAGTAAAATGCATGTTTAACATAATCTCTTACTTGGTAAACCCTAAATATTCTCTTTGAGTTGTAGAACTGTTTCTTTAACGCCTGATTGAGGCTTAAAAGCACCTTCTACCCTAAATGCAATTAATCAGCTAAGACATGTTTGGTGCCTGAAGTTTGTTTCTTTAGTTTTGTGCTGGAGCTGCAGGGCTAATAAAGCTAATACATAATGGAAATGTATGCCTTGGGCTGAACAATCTAATGCTATTTATTTTTATCATGATAAATTGTCAACTTGAACTGTGTGGAGTTGTTCAGTTTTTAATAGACTTGATTATTTGGTTTATAACACACAGTTATCTACTAAAAACACAAATTTATGCTTCGAGGTGGCTGTGACTACTGTTTTTAGCTATGCTAATGTATTTTAGTCCATGTTTATAGATAATGGTGTGTCATACTGTGTCAGAAACCACATAATCCAGTCTTTTAGAGATGAATAAACAGCTCTGCTTGGTTTGAATTGAGTATTATTTAGGCTTGCAGTTAACACCATGCTAATTGGTGGGGTATAAGCTTCCATTAGCCTTGTAGCTCCATTGCTAAAACTGAAGAAGCAGACTTAACCCACCAAGCATGTCTTAACACAGCTGATCGACTACATTCTGTGTAAGAGGGAAAACTTTTGACTGACTTTTGACCAAACTATAATTTTCTCTGCAGCAAAAGTACTTTGACTCTGGTGACTACAACATGGCGAAAGCCAAGATAAAGAACAAGCAGCTGCCGGCAGCGCAGACGGAGAAGACGGAGATAACGGGGGACCACATCCCAACACCTCAGGACCTGCCACAGAGGAAACCCTCTCTGGTGGCCAGCAAACTGGCCGGCTGACCAATGCCCTGTCCACCAGCTTTTGGCTCTCCGCAATGCAACATGCTGCTCTCTCTTTCTCTGTTTCATTCTCTCTCATGTTTAACACTCCATGCACTCTCAAAACGGATGTGTGAAAGGAATCGCCAGCATTTTTCCCCTTAATCTTTAATTACTGCATTAGTAGCGCACATTTCCCTGTACATAGGCAAGAGCAGAACACCTGAAAGACGTAGACGAGTAGCTGCTTTAACATAGTGTTTTATTTTTTAACCAGGAGTCTCACTTTAATGTGATAAATGTTTAACAGCACTCATTTTTTTCAGCTATGTAAACCAGTTTCCTAGTTTGACCGTCTGTAGTCTCAGTCTACAGCCCAGCTGACTGTGCAATGTGGGTATGACTCTGCGACTGCAGCCCTCTTGTTGAAATGCAGCTTTTAAATGGAAGGTTCCACTGATAAAACCAAAGTTATTTCCAGCTGCTGAAATGCTGTGAATGATGTTTTTCACTAAAGTATATAAAATCTGAAGTATAAGCACTGGAGGACGCCTTCTGCAGACAGTGCTTGTAGGAGAACTATGGATAAGTCAACAAGCAGCAAACTAACAAAAGCAACAGCAGAGCAGAGAATTCAGTACACCTTGAAATGAGAGGCTACAGTCACAGAGGAGTATGTGCAGCCAATGTCAAAGGTTAAAATAGGTTAACGTAGTTCACGTTAATCATGATAGATTTTATAGAATAATTGAAAGTAATAAATACATTCTGGTAAAGCTTATTTTGTCCACTCATATAGCTATAACAATTCAGCGCTTTTTAAAAGAAAAATCCCTCTTTATGATCAAGTTTAACCAAATAGGATAAATACAGGTAATCACAAATCACAAAACAATGTAACTAATGTGATTAACAGTGTGGTTCATTTTAATCGTTTGACAGCCCTATTTTTATTAATTGTCTAATTAAGACCAGCACGTTTTGCGTTGATTGTAATGCACATCTTGTTTAACACAGGCAATACATTCACACCAAGAGCGCAAACATCCGTGGCAGATGTTGATTTGTGATTTGTGAATTGGCCTGAAAGCATTTATTTAACACATCGTTTTTGAGAGTGTCCTGTTTTATTCCCCTCTATTTTCTGTTAATCCCGATTCATGTTCACTTTACCTCCATCTACGAAATACACTGAAAATAGAAGTATGCAGGTTAGTCATGCTGGACTGGGCATGGTGTCATTACAGTCAGTGGCTTGTGGGAGAGGGGTGGTGCTGGGGGGTGTATACAAAAGTCTTTATGAAGATTTATATGTGCAGTAGGCGTTGTAGATGAACGTGTACATATTTGCTTGTGTTGAGAGTTGAAGCAGTTGTTTTTTTTTTTTTCTTTTAATTTCACCATTCCCAAAGCTTATAAACGACTGGAGTAGCGCGCTTGAATGATTGATGATGTGCTTCTTCTCCGCGTCATGAGTTGGTCTTTTTCTGTTTGTAAACATTTCAGCTTTAAAGACCCAAAAATGGACCACACTGCTGCTGCAAGTCCAGTTGAAAAAGCATCTGGCACAGTTTCTCCAAGGCTGCTGTTGGCTCGCTGCATTTGGCCCTGAAAAAAGGCCTTAACCAATCATGTTACTGATCTAAAGTAGCCATTGTCAAGGCTAACACTGAGTGAGGGGGAGCGATACAGCAAAAATTCAACAAAATGTATCAGGATATTTGAAGACTTTTTCTGGTACCACTTTACAATAAGACTACCCTTATAAAGAGTTTATAACTGGCTTAAGATTTGCTTATTAATGGTTATTAATTAGATCATAAGCAACTGAAAAATCAGAGATGACAAAGTAAAATCGGTTACCAGCAATATAGATGAAGGTGAGCTCACTATTTGGCAAGAAACAGGTCACTGTTGCCCTTTTTATGTATAAATTATAACTGCTTTTTAATGGAGTTAATAACCAGTTGTAAACTAACTTTGAACCATTCATAAACCCTTTATAAGGATTTTATTGTGAAGTTGTATCCATTTTTTCAGTACCTTATAAGCATCACGGTATTTTGCTTTTCTGGGGTTTGTGAACAAGGTGGAATGGATAAAATGCACCAGCGAAATGTCACGTTTTAAAAAGCTGTACAATAATTTTTAATCAGTGTTTGCAAAAATATGCTGTTTAAGAAGAAACAGAAGGGAAATGTTTGAGTAATTGTTCAAAATAATGAGTAAAATAAGATGATGTCATCCAAAAAGCCGCTTTGTTCCTGTGCAGTTTATGCAGTTACTGTACACTAGTTGTCGTTGTTTACAGTCTCTATAATTGGTCTTTTTTACGTTCAGTGTTCTCAGAGTACTGACCGCACCCGTGATAAGCTCAGAAAAGCGCATCGTGACGTAATTTATCGTGATAATGATGATACATCATCATATCGCCCACCCCTAACACCCAGTAACACGAGCTTCACAGCGTGACTCCACCGATTTGGAGCTCAGCCGCGACTGGAGCTGGAGCAGTAGCAGTAACTGGAAGAACGCAGTTCTCATTGAGGTCCTCTTGTCAGTTTTGAAGCACTACACACTAAACCGTCTGGGCCAGGGTGCGCATAGGCATCGACCACAGTCACTTTTGTGCCATTTGATTTGTAAATAAAATAGTTTTGCAAACCTGTGCACTTTCACTTCGTCCTCTGTATTTATTGTGTATTGTGTGTGGATTTTTAATGGGCTTAATATGTGAAGTGCTAACACAGCGATATTGAAGGCCTATATAGGTTATAGTAATAAATATGCAGAGGTGCACTATGAACTCTAGGATCTAAAGCTGGTGTAAGATGATGAGATGAATGTCAACTGAAATATATTATTGTAAATATGACCACAGAAGTAAGTCACCTTAAAGAAATGAATTAGTTCATATACAAAGTGTGAACATTTAATATCCATCAAAAGAGTTAAGAGATAAGAGGATATAACCACATAATTGATCTCATAACTAGAATTAAAACACACAAATGTGAAATTACAGTAAATATCTGTATGAATGCTGTCAGTTCATGAGTGTAACACTGTAGACACTACTTGTAAAACCTAAAATGACGTACTTTTTTGGATATGCAAACAAAAATGCCCGATGAAGTGTTCAAAATTACACCTCAGTGATTTATTTAAAACTGAAATTAACCAACCTAACCAAATTCTAATCAACGCGACACAAGATCTGAAAATAAATCTGTAATGTCTTCCACCAACTTTTCATAATCAGCACACTGTTTTGTACAGTGAGTTTGTAGCTAAATATTAAAAAACATATACTTTACAAATTTTTAGTATAGTTATAAAATACATACATCATCTAAACCGCTTATCCTTCTGGGTCGCAGTGGGGTGCTGGAGCCTATCCCAGCTGTCATTGGGCAGAAGGCAGGATACACCCTGGACAGGTCACTAGTCCATCGCAGGGCAGACAGACATACACATTCACACACTCACTCACACCTAGGGGCAATTTAGCATGTCCAATTAGCTTAACTGCATGTTTTTGGACTGTGGGAGGAAACCGGAGTACCCGGAGGAAACCCATGCAGACACAGGGAGAACAGGCAAACTCCACACAGAAACGACCCCGGTCGCCCAGCCGGGAATCGAACCCAGGCCATTCTCGCTGTGAGGCAACAGCGCCATCCAGGTTTTGCTTGCTATCCAGTTTGCAAGGATATCATTAAAATAAACACATTTTCCCATAAACAAATGATAAATATCAGTACTGAGAAATAGGTATGAGAGGGTAAAAATGCCAAAAAGCTTTAAAACATTTTAAAAATGAATAATGTTTTGAAGTATCTTACAGCGCTCCGACTGATTTACTGAAGTATATGAATATTGTTGATCTGTGTTACGATTATGACATATTTATGGACATGGTATGAGGAGGTTTTGTGAAAATGACCTAGCTGGTGGTTTACATGGTGCCAAAATTTCAAGATGGATGGACCATTAGAAGAAACTACAGACAGGTGAAGATACCCAATCATGTTACTGACCTGTTGCCAATTAACCACCAGGTGTTTTTTTTTAGCATTACACAACTTTACCAGCCCTTTGTTGCCCCCGTCCCAACTTTTTTGGAATATGTTGTTGGCATCAAATTCAAAATGGGCAAATATCTTTTTTGAAAACAATAAAATTTCTCAACTTAAACATTTGTTATGTTGTCTTTGTACTATTTTCAATGAAATATAGGGGTTAACTGATTTGCACATCATTGCATTTTGTTTTCAGTTACATTTTTCACAGTGTCCCAACTTTTTTGGAAATGGGGTTGTACATGTGCTGGCTTTTGTGACATCACAAAAACTGAATTCAAAACAGTATGTTTGTGTGTTTTAGCATCCATATATGGACTGAAAACTGAATGGAACATTTATAAATCTTAATGTTTATGAGTGGAAGAAACAAATGTTAATTAATGAAAATGGGATTCATAAAAATGCAGGTGAATTGAAAATTTGAGTGATAAATAGTTATTTGGTTTGATAAGAAGAAGAACGGTGACAACCAAAATGGTATATAACCAAATGATTTGATAAAAGTCATTTAACCTCTGAGCACGTTTTGAGGTCTTGCATCATTTAACATGTAACTCCTTTAAGTTCTGCCTCCTCCTCTCATTGATGCAGAAATTGCTTGAGTTAAATGATGAGCAACAAAAATTACTAATGTGAAATGAGGTAAATAACAAAAATAGATTGAGTTACGATGCAAAATTACTCAAAGGATAAATGATTTGATAATAAACCACTTTAGTTTTCACCTTTCTGATTATAAAAGAACACCGGATGTTGCCACCCTCATACAAAAACCACCTCGATGATAAATGATAAACCGTGGTTCACACAGCTTTGATCATATAACTCATCAAATCAAGGAACTATTTATCACTCAGATTTACAATTCACCTGCATTATATACTATTTTGAATGCACTGCATTTTTATCCACCACATTTTCAGTTCATTTCTGGTTCTTCCACACTTTATGTATATTAAATAAATAATATTGCCTTCAATTAGAGTTTATCTGAAGCCTTTAAAACACTGTGGTTGACGGTATGTAAGGCAAAGTGTACAGTATTAAAGCTGGGCTGAAGATGCTTCAACTGCCGTCATTTTAGCTTAAACCTCAGTAAAGCCACGTCTAGATCAGGTCTAAAATAAACCTCAGTTACAGCGACATCTAGTGGCAGATGTGAGATTTTTAAATGACAGAAATTGGGTTTTGTGTGAACTGAGGAGTCACAATGAACTGCAGCTTCTAGTTTCTTATATCATTTCATCATATTTTTGCTGCTTATATATACATATCGAAGATTAACATATTGTTTATGTTATAAATACTTAGAAAACTAACAAAACAACAACACGGGTCGTTTGACCAGGGGTGCACAAACTTTTGCATACAAATATATTGCACAGTTACTGTTATATATACCATAATGTAGTTCTACAGTTACAGACTGTAGTCCATCTGTTTCTCTGCATACTTTGTCACCCTGTTCTTCAATGGTCAGGGGACCCCCACAGGGCAAGTATTATTTGGGTTGTGGGTCATTCTCAGCACTGCAGTAACACTGACATGGTGGTGGCATGTTAGTGTGTGTTCTGCTGGTGTGAGTGGATCAGACACAGCAGTGCCGCTGGAGTTTTTAAACACTGTGTCCACTACTGTCCACTATATTAGGCACTGCTACCTTGTCCGTCCACCTCGTAGATGTAAAGTCAGAGATGATAGCTCATCTGCTGCTGCACAGTTTGTGTTGGTCATCCTCTAGTCCTTCATCAGTGGTCACAGGATGCCATTGGCTGGATGTTTTTGGTTGGTGGACTATTCTCAGTCCAGCAGTGCTGTGCTCAGTCTGAACTTCCACCCAAATAATACCCGCTCTGAATCTCTGCAATCAACAATTTCACACCAAACCACTCTCAGTGACTCTGTTTGCATCTCAAACACTGAGTTATGCACAAATTCTAAAATTTCAGTGGAATTCCCCTTTTAAATGCTCGCTTTCTTCAGCACCCGGAGCCACCAGGGGGCAGCCTCGCTCCATTCACTCCCCCATAGACTGGGGCGCCTCGTTGCACAGATCATTTTCTCCACTCTCACCGTACCCAGCATGCACAGAGGAGCGCCAGAGGAGCTATGAGCGAACCGAGCTGTGGATCCATGAGCCCGGCTTCGGAGTGATTGGAGGCTCGGAGTGAAACGCCAGGCTGGACATAAAGCGCTGGACGCTCCTTTAACCAAGACTGGACGGTTGATACGCGCTCAGCAACGGCCATGGCTGCGTCCGAGCTGTACACAAAGGTGAGATCTGGGTGTGATTTGGTGATTTGGGGAGTGAGCGCGGATTCACTCTGCGAGGCTGAGATTTGCTCCAGTGCATCTTAAGGCAGAGACACTTCGGTCGTTTGACTGGACACCACCATAATAACCCCAATGAATGGAGCAGCAGTGCCATTGTGTCAGTTTTACCAGCAGCGTTGCAACGTCAGAGTGTCGTGTGTGTGTGTTTTCGTGGTTGGATGTTGCTGAGCTGATGGTTTTGGGTGGGTTTGTTTGGGGGGCGCAGGTAATTTGTCAGCTCGGCCTGCGTCCTTCATATAAGCCAGAGTGAAGAATGAAGTGCGTAGGGCGCCGTTTTGATGGTCTGTGCTTATGAATCTGATGCAAACGCGTGAAATAAATGGGATTTATGAGATGTATGACGTCGCCCTGGTGCGTTATGATGCTGTCACGTGTGTGAGGGACGCTTTTGTCCAGCAGCAGAGAGGACTGGGGGGAGATGGAGGAGCTGAATGTGCATTTCCACAAGGCCTCGGCTGGAGGGGATGGTTTTGTGTTGTTGGGTGCTGGATGCAGAGACTGCAGCGAGGGAGGGGGAGGAGGGGGGAGGGGGCTGGGTACCGCTGCTGATGCTGCCAGCGTCACCGGACACGTCACGCCGGCGACGTGACGTCACCCCGTTGTTTTAAATTTCCCCCAGCCTGTGGGGATGTTTGACAAAGCACGTTTTTTTTCAATTACACTCTTTAAAAAAGATGGCTCTTTAGTCAAGGGACTAGTCCTGGTTAGAACCATGAGTTCTGTATAGAACCTTTGGATGTTTGTATGGTTCTTTCTATGGTTGAAATGGTTCTTCAGATGGAGAATGTGCTTAAAATGGTTCTGCTATCATAACAAAATCAAGCTTGTAACAATAGAAGAACTCTTTTTGGTTCTGTATAGAACCATTTTCAAAAAAGGTGCTATATAGATTTGGTTCTAAAGAGAGTCTCTCTATGTAGAAAGGATCTGTATGTTTCTGCACTCTTAAAAAAGATGATTTATCTAAGGGTTCTTTAGTAAAGAAATGGGTTCTGTAAAGAACCATGAACACTCAAAGAACCCTTTTCATGATTAAAGGTTTCTTTGCATCATGAAAGGGTTCTTCAGACTGATGGAGAATGTGCTGTAGATGTTTCTATATAGAACCTTTTTGAAAAGTGTTCTACCTAGCACCCGAAAGGGTTCATTTATTGTTACCAGCTTGACATCGTCACAATACAACAACTCTCTTGGGTGCTGTATAGAACCCCTTTCAAAAAGGTTCTATAATGAAACATCTACAGCACATTCTGAATATCCTTCCTTGATGCAAAGAACGCTTTAATAATGCAAAGGGTTCTTTGAGTGTTCATGGTTCTTTGCAGAACAATTTTCTTCACTAAAGAACCATCTTTTTTAAGAGTATATAGAACCTTTTTGAAAAATGGTTCTGTATTGCACTCAAAAGGGTTCTTGTATTGTTGCAGGCTTGATGTCATCACAATAGCAGAACCCTTTTGGCGCTGTACAGAACCATATACAACACATTCTCCATCAGTCTGAGGATTTCACCATGCAAAGAACCATGCAGATGGTTCTATATAGAACTTGCTCTATAATATACTTGCTCGAAATGGCTCTAAATAGAATCATTCCTTACTAAAGAACCCTTGAAGAACCATATTTCTTAAGAGTGTTTATCCCTCAGCTCCTTATTTGCTGGTCAGGCTCTCCTTTTGCCTTAATCATCTCTGAAAATCCTCCCGTGTGGCCCAAGGCGTGTCACTATGAAGGGAAACAAAAACAAACAAAAATCTTTCTTTTGTCTTCGTTCAGAAGTGGAAATATATTCTAATGGTGATGGTGGTGATGTCAGGATGTGTCATCCGCTGAGGAAAGAGGGAGAAAAGGAAAGGAAAAAAAAGAAAGGGAGGCTCACCCATCCCCCATGGCATCTTCTGTGCTGCACATGCACACAGGCCCAAGGTTAGAATCCCCTCTGAAAGCCGGTGGAGGAGGGTTTGTGTTCATGGCTTGACTGTCATGTTATAGCCCCATTTAAAGGGCCCATACTCTAGATTCTTCTTCCCTAAGATCCACTTAAGCGTTTGTGTGGGTTTATGAGCCCAAAATAATCTTAATTCATACTTGCATGATCATTTTCAGACCTCTGTTTTTCTCTCAGAAAAAAACAGACTGCATCTTTAAGACCGATGTGTGTAAATGAGCTCTGTTCTCATTGGCTGCCATAATTCAAGAAAACAGTCCAGGCTTAAAGACTTACAACTTCAGAATGGGCAGGGCTAACCTGCTGTAGGCTGAACAGGCAGATGTCTGTACATGGATTGGTTTTTGTGACATCACAAATTCAGTGACATTACAAAAACTGGTCATTCAGAATGGGCTGTCCAGTAGTGTCATTCGAAAAGCAGCCAAAACACTCCTTATAACTTCAGTGTGAATGGGTGGGGCTAAACTGCTGTAGGTGGATATAAATGTGTTGCTTTTGTGACCTCACAAATACAGTGAATTTAGAATAAGCTGGTTTTGCAGGTTAGTTTTCATGTATGGCCTGGAGAAAAAAAATTCATAAGAAATTAAACTGAAAAACAAAACAAAATCAGGATAATTCATTTTCCAGTATATGTGCACTTTAATAATGATTATGTTCCACATCAAACTATTATTTAAAGACAAAGTAGAGCTGATCTTTTCTGATATTTGTGGTTGTGCGTAGTATTTAAGACTGAACATATATATTGTTTTCTTAATTGTTACTGCATAGAGGTGAGCGATATGGCAAAAAATCTAATATTGCAATACTTTGATATTTTCATGATACACAATATGTCATGATATTTATTTTTTCAGACATCTGATCAGTTGGAACAGAGGAAAAGAACCAATAGTGCTACATTTAAAAAAAAAAATACTTTGAACACAGTGACTTTCATTCTGTATTTGGCACTAAATCCAGTGAAACGGGACTGATTTTACTCTTTTTATAATGAAACATGCAGTTGGTGAGTGTCTACACGTACTGACGATATACACAATATACATAATTTATCACGATAATAATATATATACTCATATTGCCCAGCCCTATTACTGCAACATTGGCCTTTACAGTATTGACAGTGGTCAGTGTCCTGACCAGTTATGTTGTTCTTTGAGTGACTGGATGAATGTCTATGTGATGCATGAAGCACAAAAAAATGACACATGGCACATCAAAGGTTTTATATATATAAAAAATATATTGGAAGGTATTGCAACTGCTCTGTGTGTAGAGATGGGCAGTATAATGATATTTTATCATTATCGTGCTAATTCATGTCACAGTATGCTTTTCTGAGCATATTGTGGATATGGTCAGTACTTAAAGAACACTTAACCACATGTTACATTACAAAGTGAGCATAATTAGTTTTGTTTAACTGGATTTAATGCAGTGCAGTTTAGTATTCAGTGTTTGTAATATGTGGCATTACAGGTTGTATTTTGTCTGATCCAACTTATTAAACCTCAAAAAAAAGGAATACTGTGATGCATATTATGTATCGTAAAAATTTCTTGGAGTATCATGATATATCACTATATCACCCACCCCTAAATATGTAGTTTTGCAGTGTGTAGCAGTGTGGTCTTTTGTCCGTGTTATCAGCCCTAACCAGAGTTTTGTATATTAATTCTCCATCTTAGTGATTATCTGCTCTCTGTACATAATCATAAATATATTTGTGTGACCTTTTCCCCAGTATCTTTCAGCTCTAGCTGCGCTGTTGTCGGGTGATATTTTGTCAGAAATGTTCAGTGTTTGGCCCCGGTGGCTTTTGTCTTGCCTGTTTTTGAGCTTGAGGCTGATGATGGTCTGCCTGAACTGCTAAAAAGAAAGGGGGCTGCTCACTCCATCCATCTATCCATCTTTCCTCCCATAATATAGCCATCAGCAGCTTTTCATTATGCTTTAGTTCTTTGTACTGGCCTCTGTTTTCCTGCCATTTTTGGCTCATTTGTGTTTATTTTGCTGCAGCTGTTTTTTAGGTTTCTGCTGCTTTCCTCCGGGTAAATAAAGGTCTGCCAGGTCGTGCTCGATTTGTGGACGGACTGGCTAACCCGCGTCCACCTTCACTTCCTGTTCTTATTCTTTGTTGATCATAAACAAAACATAGAAAACATAGTTTCTCAAGATTGTTTAAGAATGTTTGCACATTGCAGTAATTGGTGGGGTATTAGCTTTCACCTTGTTAGCTATATAAGCCTTGTAGCTGCAGTGCTAAAAGGACTGCATTTCTGCATAAATTCAACTTTTTTATATGTCCAAAAGTGTCCAGACAGCCCTTCTAATAAATGAATTCATCTACTTTAGGGTCACCCCTTGGCATACATACAGCTTGCATAGTCTCCATAGAAAAGCACTGACCAATAGAATGGGATGCTGTTTAGTAGCCTAAGGTCACCATGCCCGATGCCAAGTGGGCTAAAAGGATATAAAGCCCCCAAGCATTGGGATGTGGAGCAGTGGAGCTGTGTTCTCTGGAGTGATGGAGCTCCATCCATTCCTTTGGGATGAGCTGTTGAGTTGAAGTGATACAGAACTGACCATTCAACATCAGTACCTGACCTCACTAATGCTTAATCAAATCCTCACAGCAAGGTTCCAACATTGTGTATAAAGCCTTTCCAGAAGAGTAGAGGCTGTTACTGCAGCACAAACTCACTGTTAATACCTTTAATTTCAGAAGAAACGCTGGAGGAGCAGGTGTCTGTATGCTTTCAGGGGAACCCTGTGAGCTAAAGGTAGCAGGCTCGCTGCTGAAAGTCTGTCATGCCCTGAGAAGCAGGATGTTCTTTTTGCGGAATGCTCCACTCCCTGCTCTTAGGTCATGCCGTCCCGCGCCGTGTTTTTAACGTTTCTGGAGAACACTCGGCGCTTTGTGCGGCCCTGCTGTGGCCAAATAAAACTCCATTGATGCAGTGAGGGAGGGGGCTGTTAC